GTTCGTGTGTTCTAGAACTGGCGTTCGTGTGTTCTAGAACTGGCGTTCATGTGTTCAAGATGCAATGTTGGAGCAGCTGTTACATCCATCCTGGTATATTGCTTTTGAAAACTTTATTTCCTCTTTTTCTGGAGGTAAATCCCATTTTTGGATGATTACTTCTTTGATATCAGATGCTGCAGCTGGCAGGATTTTTTACTGAAACCTTCTTTACTTTTGGGCATTTGTTATGATGCATAACCATGACAACAGGGTGGTTTCCTATAACTGGGAGCAGCTGATTAACATCTCAAAAGCTCAAATCTCAACTACTGCCCCAAATCCCAAATGAGTTGAAAAGGAGGTGCCATGGATGCATTTCCCATCTACCTGGAGGCAGTACTTGAGTGCCTGACTGCAGAGATCTTAGAGGTAGCGGGAAACGCAGCTTGTGACAGCAGGAGGACCAAGATCATCCCACGACACCTGCAGTTAAGTCTGTGGCAATAAGGGGCTTGGCAGGCTGCTGGGAGATATGGCCATCGCTCAGGGAGAAGTTCTGCCCAACATTCATGCAGTCCTGCTGCCCAAGAGGACCGAGAGGTCTTGTCTGGGTGGACAGATTGACATCTGTAGCCAGTTTCTTCGGATCCGCTGTGGGACGGACTGCTACAAGAGATCCTTCCTGCCCAAAGACATCAACATCTAGAACAACTTTAATGAAACCAAGATGAGCTACAACAACAATTAATTTACCTGTGGGATTAATAAAATATTTTTGTATTTGAATTGAATTGAAAAAGTCCTCAGTTATTCATCTACAACTGCAACTTTTGGAGTCAACCCCATTCAAGATGGCGGTCACAGCTAATAGACCTCAGCAAACAGAAAAATGGCTATAACTCAGCCAGTTTTACAGATGTTAGGTTAAAATGCGCTGAGGTCACAGCTGAGTATCATCCACAACACATACTCTGGGTGCTAACAGATCGCATGAGATCTCTTTTTTTAAATTTTGACATTAACTACTGGAGTGGACTCCATCTGTCCATCCATCCATCTATTATCTTTTACCCTCTTCTTCCTTTTCAGGTCACGGGGGTCACTGGTACCCATGTTCAGCCATCATTTTGCGAAAGGCGGGGGGTCGAAAATCCATCACAGGTACACAGTCAGCCTTATTCAAGATGGACGCTACAGCTAATCAACCTTAGTGAGTACAAATGTGACAATAACTCCGTTAATTCTACAGTTTTTAAGCTACAATTTGGTGAGGTGGTAGCTGACAGTCATCCCCAACACGTACTCTAAGTGCTAACAGATCACATAAGTTCTTTGGTTCAAACTTTGACATGCAAGGCAGTGCTCACTTGGCATTCCTTTAAGAAATGGGCCTTTTCTTGTTTTAATGAGCCTTATTGCAGTTGTAAAGTCTGTATGTTGCATTGTAATTTGACCATATATTTTCTACTGTAAACAAACAAATTTAAACAAAATAAGCTTTTTTCAAAATCAAGATGGCCTCATTGGGTTATAATCTCCTCTGCATTTGGACACAGGAAGCAAATTTTAGGTTTTCAGGATGAAGAAAATTGCAATGATAATAAATAAACTGACAAACACTGTTGAATGTCTATCAGAGTGACAGCAATTTTGTGCTTTTCTTGCTTTTATCAATCATCTACAGGAAAACATTTGTTCTTGGATTCGATAAACAAGTTGAGCAATTACCTCACAATAAAGACTTTTTTTATCACAAGACAAATTTGCAGGGCAGGGGGCAGCAGGGACTTGTGGGAGTTTGTTCTTCCAGTCCCCTTCACCTCCAAAGCCACAGCAGGGAAATAATCAGTGACTCTGGTTTGCTGCAGTGCAGGCTATCAGACAAGACAGCACTGTGCACGCCACTCCTAAATCAATCCTGGTCACTTTATGATCTTTTTAGTTCTGTTTTAATTCATTATGGATGCTCAGCTGTTGCAGAAAGTTATTCACATTCAGAAATCTGACAACCTGAGTCCAACCTGTTTCTTTGTTGAACATTTAGTTCAGCTACAGAGCTGTGACCTTGATGTCTGACTCCTCGTTATCTGTCCCACAGCACCACCTGCTGGCCAAAAATAAGACAAGTTCAAATCAAGTAAAAATTGCTAGACTTGGCTGCAGGATGAGACAAACTGACCTCAAAGTTAATTTCCAAAAGGAAAACTGGTAAACACATAGTACTTTTGAGCCTAGCTGTAGTTAAAGAGTAGATGAAAGTTATTGTGTGAATATTTATGAAGCATTCACACTATTGTGATCCATTTTTCTTCTGTACGTTTTTCAGCATCTAACTCGTTCCACAATTTTTGTGCTATTTCAACAAATCATAAAATCAAAACATTCAGCTTGTTCAGGAAAAGGGTGCTATGACTTTTGGTATTGGTGCACTTTTAGCTTTTTGAAATATTTGGCCTTTTCTGTCTTTTTTTTTTTCTCATAGAAAATGAATTGAGCTCATTTTCCTTCCTTCAAACCTTTAGATCTGTTTACATCTTTTTACTGCTCCTTTCACATTTTGTTCTGGTTCAGCTTCTTTCAGCTTCCTCGTGCAAATTTAAACCATTTCCAGCTACTTTCAGCTGTTTTGTGATCCTTCTAGATTCTTTCTGCTAACTAACATTTTTGTACTTCTTCTAACTTCATTTCTGTTTATTTCAGCTTCTTATGCTCCTTTCAGCTTATTTATGCAGGTTTTAGCTATTTCTCCTATTTCAGCTACCATTTAGCTGTTTTTATACTAATTTCCGCTTATTTGGCTAATTCCACATTTTTTACATTAATTTCAACTTTTTTCATCCTAATTCAGCAACAATGTGCCCTCTCCACTTTCTTGTTAAGCTTCTTTCTGCTTTGTAGTTACTTTTTTTAACCAATTTCATCTTTTTTTTCAGATAATTTACAATTTTTGTGCTAATTTTAGCTTCTTTCTGCCTAATTAGGCAAATGTGTTATTTCTGATTTCTTCTGCTACTTTAAACTTTTTCTACCTTTTCAACTATATTTTTAGCATTTTTTAAAGCTAATTTCAGCTGTTTATACATAAATTCTAGTTTTCTGGGGTAATTCTGCTACTTATGGCCTAATTAACTTCTTTCTACTAATTTCAGCTTCTTATGCTCTGTTCAGCTTATTTCTGCTATAGATTCAGCTACTACTTAGCTGTTTTATGCAAATGTTAGCTTTTTCAGCTAATTACACATTTCTTTAGCTCATTTCAGCTCTTTCCACTTCCTTCTGGCAGTTTAAGCTTTTTTTCTGCCTTGTCAGCTACTTTTCAGCAATTTATTTGCCAATTTCAGCTTTTTAGCTAATTTACTAATTTTTGTGCTCATTTCTGCTTATTTAAGCCACATTCAGCAAATATGTGTTCTTTCTGCTTTCTTCTGCTAATTTAGGCTTGTTCTTTCACTTCAGCTAGATTACAGCTTTTTTAGCCAATTTCAGCTGTTTTTCAGCAAGATCTTCTGCAATAAGCATTCACAATGCATTTTCGCAGGAAATACAAATTTCACTTTTTTTTTTAATTATTATTATTTCTTAGAAAAACAGGTTTGTAAGTTTTCAATGTTCCATAGTTGTAGTATGTTGTGGTTTAGAGGTCATCGCTGTTTTGTAAGATGTCTTAAACTCAGGTTAAAGAGTGAAAACAGCAGATCTGAATTTAAAAGTTTTTTGGTGTCTAGAATAATTCAATAAAACTCTAGGAAACAAAAGAAGACATACTTTTAGTTCCGTTATTCTGCATTTGATGTATCTCAGAAGGGAAATTCCACAATGTTCCTCTTTTTTTAACTTCTGCAAATTTGACACACAATGTGGTTAAAAATGTGGCTTTTTTTATCGTTATGACAAATGTTCACATGTCATGTGGTTTCCTAAATCAATGAGCAGTTTAATTAAACAGGAGAGCTTCTTTTTTTTTTCGTTTTATGTCAGCACAAGAAAAAAAGAGCTTAAATTCTCATTTGCAGATGACTACAAGATAATGTTCATCTCTCATAGATGTAAAACGATTTAATATTTTCATATTAAAAACATGGGCATTTAAAAACAACATCAAAGCTCAAGAAAACTACAAAATGACTTGATGAATGAAAAACATAGCTGTTTAGAAAACATATATGAATATATATTTTAAGATGTCTCAGTTGACTTGGAGCAGTCCTCACCGCCCCACCCAGGATAACACATGCACCGAAACGCAGACTTTATGAGCCGAACCTTGTGCGTGCCCGTCTGTGCAATAACCTTATAGTTTCTCCTTCCTCCTGCTTTCTCCTCAGACACCACCTTCCACTCAGCGGGGTCGAGGTGGAGGTAGGACCTGGACTGTAGGTCCTTCCTCTGGCACCGTCCCTGAGAGGAACACAGGGTGTGGCTGCAGAGGACAGCAGCTGACGTCACATTGACCAGATATGGACCTAAAGTCTCATCGATGTAGGATTTTACTGCCTGACATGAAGCCTGGAAGATAAAAATGAAACAGAATGAGTTTAAAAAGAAATAATAATAATAATAATAATAATAATAATAATAATAATAATAATAATTGAAGGAACGTTATGTAAAATCAACTGAAGTCATGTGATCAAACAAACGAATCTGCACATTGTCTCACAAATGGGATGATATTGTATTTTTGACATGATTAAACCATTGTTCATTAAAAACTGCTAAATCCTCTGAGCTATAAAATTTGTGTACGGTGATAAACCTTCTAGTTCTACTCAAGTTTTGTTTGAATTACACAAAGAAAACTTGAATTTATCGACTTATCGGACGTAAATTGAGAAGTGATTTCAGTTTTTGAGGCCAAGTGATGGAATAATGAGTTATGACCTATTAGATCACTGTAAGTGTTTTAAAAGATTAAAAATCTAAATTAATTATGGGTTATAATGTGCAAAAATTGAATGATAAGTGCTAAATGTAAACCCACACCTCCCTCCACCCTCATTGGTCCCACTCTGGGCCCCTGAGCAAGGCCCTTAACCCCCACCATCTGCTCCTAAACAGGTCTCTCTTGAAAATGAGTTCTCGTGGCTCAATGAGACTACCTGCATAAATAAAGGGTAAATGGAAAAAAAAAAAAAAAATGAAACGTGAAGCCTTTGACAGATTTGTTGTTTGTGAATTTTCTGACATTTGAAACCTGAGCTGGTGAGTTTTAGCTTCAGCCTACATTTTTTCTATGTGATTTGTTGCGTTGTGTGCAGAGAGACTGTAATTTGACAATGAGCTTGTTTATCCATTGATTTGCATCAAGCGTGTTTCAAGCTGAAAGAAACAAAAAAAAAAACCACTCATAGAGCGAAAAATTACAGAACATCAATGAACAGAAAACAAATCAGTCAGCCATGTGCAGATCAGTTTATGCTCCGATTAAAGCCTAAATCAAAATTTACAACAACTGTACAACTCTTTCTGAAACAGCATTCATAGTTTCATCTATTTTTATTTCAGACTCCTGATATAAATTTAGTTTCACACTGATGAGAATCAGAGATAATCGCATAAAGTTTACAAAAAATTAGCACTACCGATTAGAAATAAAAAATATATATATTTTTTTTTTAATCATTAAATGCATAAATTATGAGCAGTTTTCAAGACTATAAGGTTCAACTCTCATTTGGATTTTAAAAACTCTGGATTATTTTTAACCTGAACACGTTTTGTCATCTAAAAACTTTATAGTCATATGACAGCGCCTGCCTGAAACAGATTACTTGCTGAACAATGAACATGTCAGAAAAGTTGCTTTTTATGAGTGTTTGCAAAAACAGGCTTTCATGGGAAGTTACAAAAAGTTTACAAAGTTTTTTTTTTTTTTACTTTTGAATTTATACTTTTTTCTACTAATTTGTAAAAAAAATATGTTTTAAGTCAAGTCAAATCAAATTTATTTATAAAGCACATTTAAGAAAACAGTTGTTACCAAAGTGTTTAACCATAAAAATCAATGGCAGAAATTCAAAGAAAAAAAAATAAAAATTATTAAAAGCATCAAAAGAAAAACATATAAAACACAAAACAACACCAAAGTTCATGCTCATTAATCCAGATATAAATCCAACTATGTTCAGTCAGGTCATCTGGATGGTTTCTTTTGTTGATGAGACGTTTCATCCTTCATCCAAAGGACTTCTTCAGTCAGGAGCCCACCAAACTAAACTGAATCCCACAAACAGCTCAGCTCACTCCCAGAGTGGAAAAACAATGAAATATTAAATCAAATCATAGTGTGTTAAACATCGGTGAACAGGTGTGTTTTTAGGAGAGATTTAAAAGCAGGAAGTGAAGTGGTCTGTCTAATGTTGAGGGGCAGATTGTTCCAGAGTTTAGGGTCCATGACTGAAAAAGGCAGATCTCTGAACTTCAGACCAGTTTTTGGTACAACCAAAAGCAGCTGATCTGATGATCTCAGCAGCCGAGAAGGAACATAAGGTTGAAGTAGATCAGAGAGGTATGAGGGTGCACGACCATTAATGCACTTAAAGGTCAACAGGAGAATTTTAAAATCTATTCTGACACACACAGGGAGCCAGTGAAGGGAGGACAAAACTGGTGAAATGAGCTCAAACCTACCAGTTCCTGTTAATAGCTGAGCTGCAGCATTTTGGATGAGCTGGAGACGTGAGAGGGACACCTGACTGACCCCAACATAATGTGTATTACGGTCTAGACGGGTTGTAACAAATGCATGGACTATTTTTTTCCAGATCAGATCTGGTCAACACAGACAAGTTTAGCTATCTGCCTTAACTGGAAGAAGCTTTTCTGTAGAACAGAGTTAATCTGTTTATTAAACTTAAAGTCAGAGTCTAAAATCATCCCAAGGTTTGTAACAGACTGCTTAAGTCTTAATTAGGACATTTGTTAGCATATGTGTTTATCTTAGATCCTTATATATTGTTTCTTGTTACACTTTATATTTTGTTGGGTGTAACTGGGACCCTGGGTACATAATTTTGTTCCACCTCATGTACCACATGTGATGAGAATGACAATAAAACTGACTTGACTTAAGATATGGCTCAAGAGAGTCAAGGTTAACAGGAACAGCAGCAGAGCCACAGGGCTAAACACAATGACTTCAGTTTTCTGATTGTTAAAACTGAAATGTTTTCATGTATACAAAGGTTATACTAATAAAAAATAGCTAGAGGAAATTAAAAATGCACACCAAACAAAAGCTTGAGACCAATTGCCCCCCAAAGCCCCCTTCTGGTGGCACCCCTGCTCATTTCCTTTTTCATGTTCTCTGTGAGAGGTTATCCATATTACAGCACTCCACAGAGTAAATATGATGTTAAAGGCGTACTGCATGTGTTGTACCTTAGATTTAGAGAAAGTGTTGTCCCCCCAAAGCACCACCCCTGCAGATCCCACAGCAGCACTCTCTCCGATCGTGTAAACCAGATGCTCCTGCAGGTAAACAAAACTTCAGAGTCGAATGTGCACATCAGATTATGACGACGGGGTGTTTCAGAGCAGAAACCTGCTACTCGCCTGTGTGAGGAAATCCAGTGAGTAGGTGTAGACGACGCGAGCGTAGGGGAAGACGGGCAGCTCCGCTGGGCTCACCTGAGCCGAGGCCCTCATGGCCTCCAGGATGCGGTGATGAACGTAGAGGAGCACTTCTCTGCCGAGGCCTCGGAGCTCCAGGCTGAGGTAGACGTCAGGATACAGAGCGGAGGAGACGTTCCACAACCACAGCAGCTCATCGTTCCTCTTCAGCTCCACAGCTGGACACTCCCCCGTGTAATTTGTTATTTTGCTGCTGTAATAGTTGTAGCAGTTGGGGAAACCGTAAAAACCCCACAAACCACTTGGCCTCATCTTCTGCCCCAGTTTTAAAGTTTCCTCCATGAATTTTCTCCCAGATTGCTTGAACTCTTTCCGTGCAGCGGTTTCTACCTGAGCAGGACTCCAGTCGGGATGCTTGGACTTCACCAGCGCTCGTGAACCTTCCCAGTACACCTGTTTACTGTCCCAGTTTCTCTCCCACACGGGTCTCCAACTCTCCCAGTCCACAACAGCTAGGCCCTGGAAGTCTCTTTTAGGCATAAAGGCGGTGATATTTTCAGATGCTGCTCTGAGGTGTTCGTCAAGACTGCCGTTCTGTGGAACCCCTCCGTTAACAGCCACCCGCTTGTCAGAGTACCTCGGATACAGACCGAGCTTTTCAGCATAAAAGATAGTGACGTTGTCACCCATAAAGGTTTGGTTCTGGTTCTGGATGATGCTGAACATCCCCAAGTCAAGGTCCACGCCATACTTTGAGAGGCAGATCTCAGTGGGGGCATTCCACACGGTGAGGAAAGGAAAAACTGAGAATGTTGATGTAGCATGCTGCCCAGTAATGAGGCCAGTCAGATGGAAGAACATCAGCGTCTCAGGATGAAAAGACCACATGTCTGCAAAGAGGAACAAGTCATCACAAAATGGTTTTTATTTGGGTTTTGTTTTGAAACCCCAATTCTGTGGTTGGGATGTTTAAGAAAATACAAACAGAATGCAATCATTTACAAATCTCAAAAACCCATATTTTATTCCCAGTGAACTGTAAACATATTAAATGCTGAAACAAATTTGTACCATTTTTTTTTAGGGAAAAAATAATAATTTTGGATTTGAAGACACCAACCACTAAATAGTTGAGACAGAGCAACAAAAGGTTGTAAAAGTAGCACAAATAAGAAACAGCACGATAAGCATTTTTGCAACTAATTAGGTTAGATGACAACAGGCCAGTAAGAAGACTGGGTATGCTGTTTTTCTTTTGGCTGCTCCCCTCAGTGGCAGTGAAGAAACTCACATGAGAAGTTTGGCAATTGTTTCCCACCGGAAACCCTTCCTGACGCAACCTGGGCTCGAACTTGCAACCTCAGTATTATAAGACCGCAGCACTGACCTCCGAGCTATCATAACTCAGAGGACTGGGAATAAAAAGAGCATTTTAAAACAATGAGTCTCTCAGAAGTAAAGCTGGGCAGGGGTCCACCGGTCTGCGAAAAATTGCAACAGTGGAAGAATTTCATCAATCATGCAAAGCAGAACCGCATAAACACCGTTCAGAAATGCTGCCGTCTTCTCTGAGCCAAAGTTTATTTATTTTAAATGGACTGAAGCAAAGTGAAAAGTGTTCTGCCGTCAGAGAAACAGAACTGTGAAAATATCTTTGGAAACCACTGACACTACATCTGTCATCCGAAAGAGGAGAGGGACCATCAGTTCAAAATACTGCCTCTCTGATGATATGGGGGTGCATTAGTGCCTGAAATAGGCAGTTTACACATCTGGAAAAGTATCATCAATGCAGAACAACATACACAGGTTATAAACAACCAAACAAACACAAACAACTTCCTATAACTACAAAAATGTGTGGAACTGAACTACAAACAAGCAATAACTTCATGTTTTGTGTAAAAATTAACACAACAGATAATCCAGAAAGCACCACCTCACACTAAAACACACAGATTTACCTGGTTAACAGCTGGAGAGGGATTTTGAACAGTCTGTTCAAGAAACCAAGTCTTGTCATGTGACTGAAAAAGGGAAGGAAAAAGGAAGTGAAAAGGAAAAAATGTGAACCAATCTGAGCTGAGCAGATTTCCACCAACAAATGAGAAGTAACATGCAAACTGTGAGAGTCAGCCTTAAAGTTACAGGGCCAGTTAAAACACTAGATTACAGAAAAGTCTGTGTTGATAATCTGGTCTTTCTTATTGGGTCTACTCCTTAACAGTCTACCGGCACATGACTCGGCTAGAAATGAGGAGAGGAGTTTATTTCTGAAATGGAGGGGGAAATGTTTCTTCCAGCAGGCAGAGGTGTCGCCTTGAACTTTTTTTTATGGTTGGTGCCCATAAACAGCCGTCTTTAGATTGGATCAGACGTGGACAACATATGGCCCGAGGGCCTTTTGACCCTCGGAGAATCTCCATCCAGGCCCCAAAATTCAAGGATTCAAGTTTCTTTATTTGTCATACGTACCCCATGTGGTACATGTGGTGGAACGAAATAATGTACACAGGGTCCCAGTTACATCCAACAATAAAATGTAAAAAAAAAAAAAAAAAACAGCAATAAGATCTAAGACATGAACTAAGAAAAATGTTAACTAAATATACACTAAGCACTAGTAGCATAAAAAAACATTATGCCAAACAGTAGCACGAACATGAGTCTGCGTGAGCAGATGAGCACGTATGAACACATCAATATGAAACAGATCAGCAGCAACATGATGTAATTTTTTTCACAGTGATTATTCTGGTTAGATATTCATGAATCTAACAGTCTCAGGGTAGAAACTGTTCCTTAGTCTAGTGGTTCTACACTTAATGCTCCTTAACCTCCTTCCTGAGGGGAGTGGGGCAAAAAGTCTATGTGCTGGGTGAGTGGGATCCTTCATGATGCAGTTGGCCCTCTTCCTGCATCTGGAGGTGTAAATGTTTGTGATGGTGGGGAGACTGACTCCAACAGTCTTCTGTGCAGCCTTCACCACTCTCTGCAAAGCTTTTTTTTCTGCAGCTGTGCAGCCTCCATGCCAAACGTTAATGCTGGAGCACAGGATGCTCTCCACTGCACACCTGTAGAAGGAGGTGAGGACTGAGCTTCCCAGACCAGCTTGTCTCAGCCGTCTGAGGAAGTAGAGTTTCTGATGAGCTTTCTTGGTCAGGCTGGTGGTGTTGTTGCTCCAGCTGAGGTTGTCATTCATGTGCACACCCAAGTACTTGTAGCTGGAGACCACTTCCACTGCAGATCCTTTTATTTTCAGGGGGGTGTAGGTGTGTTTGTTCCTTCTGAAGTTTACAATCATCCCTTTTGTCTTCTTCACATTGATGTGAAGGTTATTCTCTTTGCACCAGCTCTCCAGGTGTTCCATCTCCTGCCTGGGTAGCTGCACAATCGTATGTGAGCAGAGTGAATAGGAGAGGGCTCAGCACACATCCCTGAGGAGAGCCAGTGCTGAGGGTTTTATGGTGGAGGAGAAGTTGTAGATCCTCACTGACTGCAGTCTGTTTGTTAAGAAGTCTAGGACCCAGTTGCAAATGGAGTGGCTTAGTCCTAGTGTGGATAGTTTGTCCATAAGGGTTTGGGGATCATGGTGTTGAAGGCAGACGTGAAGTCCACAAAGAGCATACGGACATAGGAGTCCTTCTGCTCCAGGTGGGTGAGAGAATTTCTTATTATAAAGAGAAAAACTTTTGAAATTTTCATGAAAACCTGCATTTTATCAGTAAAACTTAAGTTTAAATTAAACGTTTTGAACAGATGTGTGTAAAAAGGCGATTTAGGTTTACTAAATACTAAAACTTTTTTTTGTAGTTGTCGTTTCCACAACTAGACTGAACTTCAAAGGCTCCACAAAGCAAACTTTTTTATCTGTAGGCGATTGTATTGTCACGAGAGCCAGTTTTCAGAACATTTTTACACACCCACACAATATATTTGAAGTAATATATATCTATGGCGCTGGACGCAAATAGGATACAATGACCAGACAAGGACACGCACAGACTTCTATACTGACGTTAACAAGGGGATAAACACAAGCACCTGGGCGATACAACAGGTGGCAGAGGAGGAACTGATTACATGAGGGAGAAAACACTGAGGCGTGCAGAAGCTGGGACACACCACAAGGGGGAGACAAACACATCCATCCATCCATCCATCCATTATCTTTACCATCCATCCATCCATTATCTTTACCATCCATCCATCCATCCATCCATCCATTATCTTTACCATCCATCCATCCATCCATTATCTTTACCCACTTCATCCATTTTGGGTCATGGGGTTTGCCGGTGCCCATGTCCAGCAATCACTGTGCGAGGGGCGGTGTACACCCTGGATGGGTCGCAAGTCAATCACAGGGCCACTTAGAGACAAACAACCATTCACTCTCTCACTCACACCTAGGGACAATTTAGAGTTACCAATCAGCCTAACATGCATGTTTTTGGTCTGTGGGAGGAAACCGGAGTACCCGGAGAAAACCCACGCATGCACGGAGAGAACATGCAAACTCCACCCAGAAAGGCCCCCGGACCGGGATTTGAACCAGGGACCTGCTCACTGAGAGGCAGCAGCTCTACCAGTTGTGCCACCGTGGTGCCAAGACAAACACAAGGGAACACAATTCTCACACATATGTTGGCATCAAAACAACCTCATGTTTTCATCAGCCATGTGGGCTCCACCTGCTCGGACCACCTCTATATGCAAATGGTGCAGACCCTTCAGTATAAACATGCAAACACAACTTATAAAGTTTTCTGAGGACACTCGAAGGGGCCACAGAGTTCTCCTCCAAGTGCCAATCAAGAGAAGCCATAATGAACTCCTCCATGTCCAAATTTATGCTCAAGCTTTGCTCAACTCATTATAGTAGTAAAAATAACTTGAATAACTGCACCCTGTAATTTCATGGGGAAGGGGTAAGAAGCTGCTGTACGCTTCCATCAGAACAGCAGCCTTTGGCTTCCAAATTAGGAGTGAGTCACTGACGTTTTCCTCTGAAACAGAACTTTTATTGACTGGAAGCAACAAAAACATACCAATAATATACCAAAATTCAGTTTCGACATTACTGATACCTCAGACTCTTACAAAAAAAATTAAATTAAATTAAGCCACACAAGCACAGAAAGACTAAAGTTTATTTACTGAGACTAAAATCATATATAAAAACAGCATGTGTCTGCATGTGAATAAATAAACGCTTCACACACATAAAGTGGCTTTTTACACTGTGCTTTTGAGGTGAAATATGCGTTGAAACAGGAAGCCGTTTGATCCGAACAAAACAAATCTGGTGATTCAGTTGAAACGTAGTAGTCATGGTTCAAACACACCAATACGGACGTACAAAAATACATTCAAATAAATAGAAATACTGCAGTTGTCTCCATAAAAATCATCACGTTGAAGGTTAAAAAGTTAAAAAAAATAAAATAAAATCAGGCACTTCAAATATATTGTGCTGATTTAAGTGCATTGTTTCCACTTTCACCACACAGCAACAACGTTAATAAATGAATTTATTAAACACATTTGCTACAGAAGGATCTGCTTTACAAAAATATAGGGAAATTTGACTCCTTGAGAAACGGTGACTGAGAGGGAAATGTAAACAGACAGATTTCCAGCGAGCTCTCTGTTGTTTAAAAAGTTATAAACGAAGATCAAGTTTCACTTTTTGTCATTTATATTTTGTAAAAATAACACATTTTCCACAAAGATACAAATTCCTCTCTTGTTGTGCTTGAATTGTTTTGCAGTTATGTGTAAAAAAGGAGCACAAAGCTGATCGGTAAGAGAACACGCTGCAGAGCTGTCTCGGCTCGAGTCGCCGTCCCTCTTTGGTGCAGAGGGTCTTTCTCGTCGCAGACCGCCCCCAGAAAGCCGCTGAAGCACTGGCACTGAAAGTCTGTCTGAAAACGCACCTCGTCTTCCTCTCCGAGCTCACCCGTCACTGCCAGCCTGCCGTTTTGCCTCTTAAAGCTGTGGGTGAGGGGGTTGAGGTGGAGGTAAACGTCACTGTCTGGGTCTTTGCGCAGACAACGGCCGTGCGAACCGCACAAGGTCTGGCTGCACAGCTCTGCTGCCGTGGAGACGTTGAGGAGGTACTGACTCAGCGTGCCCCGAAGATAAACATCCAGGTCGGCGCAGGTGGTCTGAAACAGAAATAAAGAAAACAACCTATTTTATATTTTGGAGAGATTTGACGTCAAAGACATCACTCGCACTTCTCCAGTTGGGTTTATGCTATTATTGACAAGTTTTTATTCAATTACTTTTGTTGTAAAGAGCACGTCTGCCACTATAGGATATATATGTGCAGCAACTGTGTTCTCAAAGTGAAACTTTTATCATTTTAAATGTATTTGCTGTAAACAAAGAGCACATGTCCAGTAAATAAGAGAAAAGAAGCTTCATTTGAAGCACCAGAGTTTATGCTCAATAATCCAGGTCATCTGGACGGTTTCTTTTTTTGCTGAGATGTTTCGTCCTTCATCCAAAGGACTTCTTCAGTCCTTTGGATTGACTTGACATTCGACAATGACTTCGTTTGAAGCCTTTTATTTTTTTTACATTGTACCTTTGTTCTAAATGCAGAAGATAAAAAAAAGAAACCTCAATGCATTCATTTGTTTAAAATAAAAAAGTTAATTTTTGTTAATTAAATCCAATAAAAAACAATAATAAGTTTTAAAAAAATTATTTTGGGGGGCTATTGAAATACGGCAATAACCAAGCCGTAAAAAAGGAAAATTTTCCCTAAATATTAGACTAGTCATATTAGATTGATCAAGCATTGCATAAAGATGGTGTCAGTCTGTTTAAATATAAAAACAAGAAATAAAGAAATCGCACAGAGCACCTTTTTTCATTGTGTATTTCCGTAGTCCGACGTCAAAGGAAAGATAAGAAATGCTCTCCCATTCACAGATGCATCTCTTCAAACTGCAGCAAATGGTTGGTTTGGTCTAGAAAATGTTGTCGTGAAAAAACTGTTGACAGCCAATTTATTGAGTCAAGATTAATACTTGATGGAGATGCTCTGAATGTGATCATTCAGGAAGTGAGACACCACTTGAAGAACAAAGCGGTGAATCTTGACAAAGTGAATCTTTGTTGGATTTTCCATAAAAGCTCCAGTTCTGCTAAGTGAGCACAGATGTGTAAACAGACAGCGAGCGGAGCAGGGTGAGGCCTTATTAAGTTTTGTAAGAGCCTCATATCTTACAGCCAAAAAAAACGTCAAGAACACAGCACCTTAAGAAGAAACTGGGTACAAGTAATAATAATAATGTGTTGTCATCATTGTATGTTCTTATACAATGGTGGAATTGGCTCTCTGCATTTAACCCATCCACCCCCAGGTGGTGCAGTGGGCAGCTATTGAAGGTGCCTGCGGAGCAGTTGGGGATGAGGTGTGCTGCTCAGAGACACCACATGGTGTGCAACGACTGGGGATCGAACCTGGGATTTCCAGGTCCTGAGTCAGCTGCCCTGCCTCTACCCCATCTCGGCCCCATAGCAGTCCCTCACTACTTTGCGGTTCGACTTCTGTGGACTCGCTCTATCGCAGTTTGTGGACGTACAGTCCATAATAATGAACCAAAAAAATAATATTGTACAAGACACGTGACTGTGGACTGTACAGTAATATCACTGTACTCACGTGGTCGGGAAAAAGTTAATTACAAAAATAATAATAATTACGACAGCCGCCGCCATTTTGTAGTTTTCTTTCAATAATTCTACACTGTATTGCCAGTCCAAAAGAATTTCATTACCCATAAGGCAACAGTGCACTCCCCAGAATTCAACAGTGCTTTATGCCAAAATGGAAGGAAAGTTTTGATCCAATCCGAACATGACTAAAACGTTTGGTCCTTATTCAAAGTGACTTTGGGGCTCGATGGCTTCAGAGAGCCGATCAGAACCCGATCAGAACTGGACCAGAACTACTTCCAGCCTCATCGGTCAATCTGAGTGCTGCTTGTTGGCCCAGGGAGCCTCTGCAGTGGGGAGGCGTTGCTTGGAGGACCAGTGTCTTGTCCGGAGCTCACCTGGACTTTTAACATCGGATTCCTCTGGATTATTTGGACTTTGTGCTGGCTCTCTGAAGGTCCGGCTCTCTCCAAAAGTGTCTTGGTGCTCAACAGCAGCAGAGAGCCGATCAGAACTGGACCAGAACTACACTTCCAGCCTCATCGGTCCATGCGAGCGCTGTTTGCCAGCCCAGGGAGCCTCTCGAGCAGGGAGCGTTTTTCTGAGGTCCTGTGTCTTCTCTGGAGCTCACCCAGACTTTTTCATCTGGATTTCTCTGGATTATTTGGACTATGGGGAACATTGTGTGGTTTTGTGCTGGCTCTCAGAAGATCCGGCTCCCTCTAAAAGTGTCTTGGTGCTTAATGGCTGCAGAGAGCCGATCAGAACCCGACCAGAACCAGAACCGGACCAAGGCTGGTATCAAATTTTGCAATAGCTACTGTGCAGTACATAAACGTATGCATGTTATTAAAATGACATAGATTTAAGAACATTGCAAGAGTGTAGGAAGTGTTTCTAAAGCCTTAAAATATATATAAATACTAAAATAAATTTAACATCGCTACTTTGTGGAATTTCACTTACTACGGGCGGGTTCAGAACCGAGCTCCCGCAGTAAACGAGGGACTACGCTACAAAAAACGCAGAAAATCTGCAAGATTCTGCAGAGAACCTCATCACCACGCACTTCAAAGAATCACTTTAGCTTCTTTTTTTTTTTAAGTTTATACATTCCATTAAATTAGCCTTTAGCTGACAAAAAAAGGGGGATTGTGAAAAGCTTTTCAACCTAAATGCTCTTCAGATCTTCTGTGTAACTGAAGATCAACTTATTCCAGTCTAGTCACCAACTCAGTCGGAGCTCTGAGTGTCAAATGACTTTACATGTGACCTGCAAGTGTCAGAACGCCGAACGGATTATGTCTGTGGTGAAAAAGCAAACCGCGTGGGATGAATGTGAGTGATGAGTTTGGCTGCTTACTTTATTATACGCTGCATCTCCCCACATGATAATTCCAGCTGCTCCCAGAGCAACGCTCTCCCCGATGGTGGAGACGAGATCAGTCTGGAAGAGAAGAAGAAAGGAAAACATACAGTTATTAAACTGTGAAACGGGGTCAACTGTTCATGAAATACTGCATGTGAAGTGGAGCTCTGTTTCCGAGCTGGTCGTTAGCCAGATTTTTCAACTTAACCAACACCCATCCTGCCCTCCACATAAATGAAAGGTGGTGGTTAGAGAGTCTGACAGCATCCAGAACAGGAAGGGACTGTGGCTGTCGATAAGAACTACGGTACTAAGCAGCTACAGCTCCACACAGCATGCACTGATAAGGAGACAAGCCGCACCTTAATTGTGAATCAAGCGGTTGAGAAATGAAACACATTTAGACAAAATTAAACTAATAGTTTCAAACAAAAGAGTGAAAATTTATCATCTGGTATGTCTTAACAAAAGGCAGAGCGTCACCTCTGTCAGCTGTTCCAGGGAGCCGGTGTAGGTGGGTCGGGTGTAGACAAAGACAGGACGTGCCGGCCCATCGACTGATGAGGCCAAACGCATCCCTTCCTTCACGCGGTTCCGCACAAACTGACGTCCGGAGGCTGAAGAACGCAGCACGATGCCCATGTAGATGGATGGGAAGAGGGCTGTGCTTTCATTCCACAGCCATTTCAGCTGCTCGTTCCGGGCCTCCTCCGGATCAGGACACCGACCCGTGTAGCTCACCAGAGAGTGCAGGTAGTTGTGGTTGTAGCAGTCAGGGAACAGGTAAAACCCCCACAGCTGGTTGGGTCTCAGGTGCTTGGCGTGTCTCAGTGTGTCCAGCATGAACTTCTTGGCAGACATCTCGTACTCCTGCTGGGCCACTTTCGTCAGCTGTTCTTCAGTCCAAGTTGGGTTTTTCTGGCGCACCAGCTCAACAGAATGTCTGCGATAAATGGACTTCTTGCCCCAGTTGCGTATCCAGATGGGACGCCACTCCTCCCAGTCAATAACCGCTAAACCCACCACCTGTCGGTCAGGAATATATTTCTCCACACTTTGCTGCATTTTCTCCAGGTGCTGCGAGAGACTGGCCTTCTGAGGGAGCCCCCCATGTATCTGAGTTTCATCTGACTCAAAGTAGGGATAAAATCCCAAACGATCCTTGTAGAACATGGTCAGATTCTGTCTGACAAAGCCCTCATTTGGAGTGGCGATGATCTGGAACTGGTCCAGCTGTAAGGACACCCCATGCCATGGGCCACATTCCTGAGTGGGGACATTCCACGCCAGAAGCAAAGGCTTTTGGGAGTACAGAGGCCATCTCGTGGGTTTCACTCCCAAGACGCAGAGGCCATCCCATAGCAGACCGATCAGGAGCAGGACTCTCCAGTCAGACAGGGTCCAATACAACATGTCTTCAGATGTAGACAGAAAAGACTGTCCCTCTCTGCTCTACAAACCAAAAACAGGACTAAAATTTAGCATAATTCATAATAATTTATCATACACACAGTCTGTCTGATAACATCTTCTGGAGACATTAAACTTTATTTAGCAAAAGCAACTTTAGTTAGGTGAAAACAACAACAAAAAAAAACTTGATTTTCTCCCTTTTTCCTATTTTTGAACCTTATAAAAAATCTCTTAATAACATAACTGGTTTAGTGCTTATGCATCCTCTCATAGTTTTATCCTCTCACCCTTATGGCTTTAACATTAACTGATTTAAAAGTTCTGACAAGGATTCACTTACAATTTGTTACTTAATTTAAATCATAAACTATCAAATTTATAAGCAGAAGCTTAGTTTGGTCTCATCTATGATGGAAGAACTTACCTTTCCCAGCAGACTGAGGAAGCATTCCCAAAACAAACAAAAAAATAAAATAAAATAGCAGAAACTTTGGGCGCGTTTCTTCTGAACAAATAACTCCTGTGTGTAAGAAAACTGTGGTGAAATAAACTTATTAAAGTTTGTGGAAGTGTGTCCCGGACTTCCCACGGTCGCCACAGAGGGGAGAAGTGAACTTACCCCCCGCGACGCTTTCAATTGTCCCTGGTTCAGTCAGAAATGCCAAGCTGCTTTCAGGATGTTCCATTTGTGCTGGAAAAAAGGGGGGTGAAGACCGAGGAAACGAACCGGACATCCTAAAAACTCTGTCAGCACGTCAAAGGCATTCAAGAAAACCTGTTTCCTGTGCTCATGAAGTTCACAAAACAAATGACTGACGCGTAGTTTTAACTGATGATGCTTACTTAAAAAAAAAAAAGTGACTCGTCGTATCCCTGTTCAGCTCGGAATGAGTCGGTCCAAGAAGTTCAACGGCACAGAGAGGAAGCAGCAACACCAGGACAATGTCAAGATCTACAGAAGATCACAGTGGGACAGTTTGTCTTGCACAGCCAGATGCACATTGTTAAAACAGAAAAAGGCGGAGTGATAACTTATTATTTTACAAATGGGGTTTGGCCCGCAAACCACACTGTAAAAAAATCAGTGTGTAAAAATTAAAACAACAAAAAAATGTAGAAACGTTTTGTCTTTCATCCGAGAGACTTCTTCAGTCTGAGGTGCTGTATTCAGCTCAGTCTTATAAATAGCACCTTCTCAGAGTGGATCAACCAGCTTTTCTGCTGACAACCAAAACCAGCTGATCGCATGCTCAAGAAGGACCATCATCCTAACAATGGATCATTAGCACACTGATGGCTGTTTACTATTCACAGAGGGTTGAGTGATACTAGCAATCACAGCATTGTAAGAGGGGGACAATTGAACACGTTGGCCTCCACCCCTGTTTAATGATGGACGATTTCTTTTCACAAAGATGGCCTCCTTTACTCCTCTCTCAAACCATCATTCCTCTCTGTCCAGGATGTGAACATCTTCATCCCTGAAAGAGTGACCGCTGGCCTGGAGATGAGTGTAGACCGCAGAGTCCTGGCCTGATGTTGTTGCTCTTCTGTGCTGGGCCATCCTTTTGGCCAGTGGCCAGTCACACAAGAGTCACATCACTCTTTACGTGCATTCCTGTTGATGATGCAGTAGAGGTGGTCAGTTTTAGATTAAAATCGGACACCACTCTGAGCAGCAGGACCACGCTTTCCACAGAACAACTGTGTCAACTCTTGAAACTGTGCCTGCAGTCAACCTACTTCACATATGGGGAGCAATATTATAGGCAGAAACATGGGTGTGCTATGGGGTCTCCAGTTTCTCCTATTGTTGCCAACCTGTACATGGAGGAGGTAGAAAAAAGAGCCTTGGCGTCCTTTTCAGGGACACCACCAAGTCATTGGTTCAGGTATGTTGACGACACTTGGATTAAAACTAAATCTCAGGGAGTCCAACATTTTACTGACCACATCAACTCTGTGGATAAATACATCAAGTTCACACGAGAAGATGTAAAAAATGGCAAGTTGGCTTTCTTGGACTGTGAGGTCTCAGTCTCTGATAGAGGACATTTGCAAACTGAGGTGTACCGCAAACCCACCCACACAGACCAGTATTTGCAGTTTGACTCCCATCACCTTTTCGAGCACAAGTTAGGAGTCATCAGGACTCTGTATCACAGAGCAGACAGCGTCCCCACTAGCTCAGGAGCCAGGCAGAAGGAGAAATCCCACACAAGACAGGCTCTAGACTCTAGAGCAATGTGGATATCCTAACTGGGACTTCCTGAAAGCAAAGAAGAAACCCAAACAGGACTCCAGTCAGCCAACAGGTGAAAAGGAGGAACCCAGACCAGTGGTCATTCCATATGTTGAGGGAGTATCAGAGAAACTGAGACATTTATTTTCTAAACATAATGTCCCAGTGGCTTTTAAACCCCAAAATACATTACGGCAAAGACTGGTTCATCCCAAAGATCCAGTCCCCCGGCACAAACAGAGTAATGTTGTGTATGCTGTTCAGTGTCAGGAGGGCTGTGATCAGTCTTACATCGGGGAAACTAAACAGCCACTGGCCAAAAGGATGGCCCAGCACAGAAGATCAACATCATCAGGCCAGGATTTTACGGTCTACACTCATCTCCAGGCCAGCGGTCACTCTTTCAGGGATGAAGATGTTCACATCCTGGACAGAGAAGAACGATGGTTTGAGAGAGGAGTAAAGGAGGCCATCTTTGTGAAAAGAAATTGTCCATCGTTAAACAGGGGTGGAGGCCTACGTGTTCAATTGTCCCCCTCTTACAATGCTGTGATTGCTAGTATCACTCAACCCCCTGTGAATAGTAAACAGCCATCAGTGTGCTAATGATCCATTGTTAGGTCGATGGTCCTTCTTGAGCATGTGATCAGCTGGTTTTGGTTGTCAGCAGCAAAACTGGTTAATCCACTCTGAGACGGTGCTATTTAAGAGACTGAGCTGAATACAGCACCTCAGACTGAGGAAGTCTTTCGGATGAAAGACGAAACGTTTCTACATTTTTTTGTTGTTTTACTTTGTTTTGTTTTGTTGAATGTCCAGAGGACCAGATTTAACTTTTTTAGATTTTTCTACCTGGATTATTGAGCATGCATCAGGAAATACTTGGTAACACATGTACAGACACTCACATACAGTGTACATAAGTAACTTGTTTGTTACTCTTTAAATTCTCTAATGCTACCTAATAAACAGTGGTGGGCACTGTTCTGCTAATCCGCTAATTGCAAAACTATTTTTTTTATTTTTACAGATTAGCGTTTTCGCTAACTTTGGAAACTGTTAGCGATATTAGCTTCAACTAAATTAGGTTTCGCCAACTTTAAATCAGCTAACAAAATTCTAGCTTCAGTTGTAAGGTGACAAAGACATGTGCCACAGACTGAATGATAGTTTAAGCGGTTATTGTTATAGCGTTAGCTTCCGCTATATATGCTTTTGTTTTTTACATCTTTAGCATTAGCTAAGCTAAATTTTTTTAGCTAGCAGAACATGGGTTAGCAAATCTAACTTTTTGGTTTTCTGTGCCCACCACTGCTAATAAGTATCCTGCTTGTTACCCGAAATACTCTGAATGTTACCTAATAATTTTTACCCTGTTTTTTACCCGATAAGTACTCTGAATGTTACATAATAAGCAGTGGTGGGAACAGTTCCGCTAATCCTTCTTCTTTCAGCATTTCCCTCTTCAGGGGTTGCCACAACGAGTCAGCCTTCTCCATCTCACTCTGTCCTCTGCATCCTCTGTCCTCACTCCAACTACCTCCATTTCCTTTCTAACTGTATCCATACAGCTCCTCTTTGGCCCTCCTCTTTGTCTTTTTCCTGGCAGCTGTATTTCTAACATATTTCTACCAATATACCCACAGTCCCTCCTCTGGGCATGTCCAAACCATCTCAGTCTGGCCTCTAACTTTATCGCCCAGTTGTTCAACCTCTGATGAGCTCATTCTTAATCTTATCCATCCTTGCCACATCTAAAGAGAACATCAACATCTTCATTTCTGCTACTTCCAGTTCTTTTTCCTGTGTTTTTGTCAATGCCACTGTCAGACCATACAACATAGCTGGTCTCACCACTGTCTTGTAAACTTTTCCTTTGACCTTTTCGGCCACTCTTTTGTCGCAAATCACTCTTGAAACTTATTTCCATCCACTCCATCTTGACCGGACTCTTTTTCACCTCTTTACCACATTCCCCATTTTCCTGGACAGTTGACTCCAAAGTATTTTATGTCCTGCACTTTTGTGATCTCTGCTCCGTGTAGCCTTCTTTTTCTACCTGCCTCCCTCTCATCCACACACATGTACTCTGTCTTATTGCGGCTGACTTTCATTCCTCTTCTTTCAAGTGCATACCTCGACCTCTTTAAGTTCTCTTCCACCTGTTCCCTGTTCTCACCACAGATCACAATGTCATATGCAAACATAGTCCATGGGAATTCCTGTCTGAACTCATCTGTTAGTCGGTCCATCACCAAAGCAAACAAGGAGATCAGAGCAGGGCTTACTTTGTAAACCAATTGATACTGGAATGCAGATAGCAGGTGGGCCGCCAGCAGGGGTGGGGTGTCTGGGGGTCCTCCACCTGAAATTTTTTTAAATAAAGCAGATGTGATTTCCTGCATTTTGGTGTATTTTAATGGGTTCATAAACATCTATGTGTTCCTACATTTGTAAACGCTTCGCTTCTGTAACTCCCCCGCCCACACACACACTTGTTCCTGCTTGTTGTTTTCTGACTCCACGTGTGAAACCTCCAGGCGCCTATCCTGCTTATGCCTGTGGGCTACTGCCTGCGTGCAACTGCTTGATCAGCACTTCACTCTTTTAGGGGTGGAGATTTCTTTAAGGGTAGATGCAGCAATACTTCATTTGAAGTTGCAGATCGTAAGCTGTTGTGCTTAAAATTTGTGTTTATGTAATTATTTTCAATTTACATATCCAGTATACATTTTATTCATTCAAGGCAGTCATATTT